CTCTCACACACACACACACACACACACACACATATACTCTCTCACACACACACACACACACACACAGAGTCTGGATGTGAAATATAATGATGTCACTCCAGATGATGCACCGACTCCACAGGAACCCCATGAAGAGGCGATGAAGGACACGGGTCGTTTGATTGGTTTATTTGCTCCGCAGACCATCATCATCATCATATGAACTGGAGAAACTGAAGGACTGACTGAAGACGCATCACGAAGCTGAACTGACGTGATGAACTCTGTATTATTTATGTGTGCAGCAGCAGCTTCACTAGAGACTACCGGATCAGCTGCTGGGTTAACCGCTTAACTAGTCACATGAGCTGTACTTCTGGTTTGGTTGAGTGAATGCGGCTGCAGCCCTGATCCAGACACACGTCACATGATCAGCAGTTCACCAGCTGTGTGTGAGGATGTACACTGAAGTTCAGACTAGCTGTTTAATGGCTACTAGTTAGTTTGTAATTTACTCTGTTAGCACCATTAGTTCAATCTCTCCGGACAGTAACAGGAAGTGATGCTCACCTTTACTGATCCACTAACAGAGCTTCTGCAGGGTTTTAAGTAAAGACAACACAACACATCAATATGGTCTCTAAATGTGGATGTCTTGTTTTAGCAACACTTCAGAGTTTGAAAATACAAACTCAAACTGATCTTCATTGCTTTTTAATTCATTTTACAAAAAGCTTAACTAGAAATCAGAATCTGTTCTGATGGCGCTGCAAACATCAATCTCTTCCTCAGTATCTTTCTCTTGTTTTCCAGTACAAATATCATTTTGCATCTCGTCAATGTCTCCTGATTTAAGGATGTTTAGATATATGTGAGCCTGCAGCACAAAAGCAGTGTTAAGTCGCTGGGGTATATTTGTAGCAATAGCCAACAATACATTGTATGGGTCAAAATTATAGATTTTTCTTTTATGCCAAAAATCATTAGGATATTAAGTAAAGATCATGTTCCATGAAGATATTTTGTATGTTTCCTACCGTAAATATATCAAAACTTAATTTGTGATTAGTAATATGCATTGCTAAGAACTTCATTTGGACAACTTTAAAGATGATTTTCTCAATATTTAGATTTTTTTGCACCCTCAGATTCCAGATTTTCAAATATTGTCTGATCCTAACAAACCATACATCAATGGAACGCTTATTTATTCAGCTTTCAGATGATGCATAAATCTCAATTTCAAAAAATTGACCCTTATGACTGGTTTTGTGCTCCAGGGTCACAATTGTGCTGGAAAACAAGAAATACTGAGGAAGATTTGTTTTTAGCAGGTCATGCAACATTAAATGCCACGAATTTATGAATTGAAGACTTTCTGCTCTGATTTAAGAGCTTTTAGGCCTTAATTTGTAGACGGGAGAATTAAACCTTTATAAGACCTGCAGAAACCCTGAGATGAAGCCTTCAGATCTGATTTAAGAGTGTTTCGGGTTAGTCTGGATGCAGTGGATGGTTTATTCCTCACTCAGCGGTCAGTGGTGATAAATTACATTTCTATTGAAAGTGACACAAAAATAATCAGAAAATGAAAATTCATATTTTCAAATGTGTAAATAATATGAAGGAACTGTGTCTAAAATTAACAAAGGGCAATAAATGCATACAAATACAATTAATTATATAAATGCACATTTTTATTTTTAATATGTTAATTATTTTGTTGAAACGTGACACACTGACATGCAGCATTTCAATGGGTTTCATGATGAAACGCTGCTATCAAGTCTATTCTCATAATATTTTCTTTTTTTAAATGTAATGGAGTGTGAATGTCTTCATCATCATCATCATCATCACCATAACTGAAGCATGAGCTCATGATCATTTCATCATTCCATCAGTCTGCTGGTTTTCCTGATCGGAGGCTTCAGTTAATATTTCGTTTATCTGTGGAGTTACTCTTTAACTAAATGTAATGGTGCATTGCTGAGTCTAGAAGTCTGTTAATAAGTTAGTGCCCATTTACACATGAACTAGTCCTAGTTTCACAGCTGGTGTAATCGGCTGCTGATGTCCGGTGTGTGTCGGTTCTTCAGCGGCTGCAGCGAGAGGAACATGATGAGCTTCACGGCTCGCGTGTGGATTATGATTATGAGTTCATGTGTGTAACTGACACATCAACACATCAGCTGTTCACTGTGAGCATGTGCTGCCATTAAACATCTGCAGGTCACATGACTGTCTCATTCATCACACGCAACTGCTGACACAACAGACCACCTCAACGTGTGTGTGTGTGTGTGGTGTGTGTGAGAGAGAGTGTGTGTGTGTGTGTGAGAGAGAGTGTGTGTGTGTGTGTGTGTTGTGTGTGTGTGAGAGAGAGTGTGTGTGTGTGTGTGTGAGAGAGTGTGTGTGTGTGTGTGGTGTGTGAGAGTGTGAGGTCCATCTGGATCAGCAGGAGTCTGGTTTTAGTTCTCCTGTTTCTCTCTACACATAAAAAAAACAATATTTAGGCCTAATGTAAGACATACAGAAATCTAACGGGTCAGATTTCTGCAGTTTTTACTCAATTATCCATATTTTTAAAATGCATTTATTCAAATAGCTTAGAATCAGCCTAAATCTGTTCATTGCGAATACAATTACTGTACATTTATCCAGTTAAAAAGTAAATGGTTAAAATATGGCTACATGTGAAATAAGCAATATTTAATTAGTTAAAATGTATAAGATTGAATCAAACTGGATTTATTGATGATAAATATATAAACCTGGTCATCATGTATTTACATTTATTAATTTAGCAGATGCTTTTGAGGAATACAAGCGGTTCATGACAGGAAGTGCTCATGATGCAAGGTTCAGAAGCTGCAGCAGGCTGTTAGGAAGGGCCTGATCTTTCTGATGTCGTGCAATGCAAAGCTGTAAGATCGAGTGCTTTTTGCCATGTGATCTTTAAAGGTCAGCTGATCATCAAAGATTACGCCATTTCTGACTGAACTTGACGGGGTAATTGTTGATGAAACACATTCAGTTTATTAGTACTATTACAGAAATCTGACCTGATTCATTTATGTGACTGACAAATATGCATCATATTAAATTAATGGAAATTTTCTATGCAATTCAAATACATAAATCTTACATTTAGGCCTAAATATTTTTAAGCTATATGATGATCAGTCAGCTTTCCCTTCTAATATCATTAATATCAGAATCAGAGGAGCTTTATTGCCAGGTGTTTTTACACATACGAGGAAGTTTTTTGATGACAGAAGCTTCCACAGCACAGACAGATTACAGCGACAAGACACAGATCATAAAAAGAATTAAAAATAGGATAAGTACATTTTTATTATTTTTATTATCTGTCTTGTCATTCTGATATAGATCACAGAGCGTTATGTGAACGTTAAGGGAACATTAGGGAAACGTTACATTTGAATGTTCTCTGAACGCTCTGAAACATGTAGCAACATTTCAAAAATGTTTGAAGAGCAGATAACTTTGAATGAACATTCTATTACTGTTACTGGAAGAACGTTTGTTCACAACCTTGCCAGAACGTTCTGAGAACATTCCCTGTCTGCTGGGACGCTCAGTAATGTCTCTGATGTTATTATTCAGTTTAACTAACTTTAACTTGCTCAGTAAGACTCTGGTGCTTGTTCATCATGACAATATTTGAGCTGTCTGCGTTCATCGTGAAGCTGAGCTCGAATCACTGCAAGTCTTTGTGTTGTTCAGGTGTAATAAATTACTTCAGAGTTCAGTTTGTGCTGCTGAAATCATCTGAACCAAACCCCCAGGTCCTTCTCGACACGCTGCATGTTCCAGAAGCTCGTGGAAGGAAGGCTTTCAGCTGGCAGTCGCTGTCCTAGTTTAGTCTGATCTGGTTTCTTCTGAAGAACACGTGAAAACACACACACACACACAC